CATATCTGGTGAGTGTAACTGCGTTTGTCGTGACACGCTGTGTTGTGTCGTGGCACGCTGTGTTGTGTCGTGACACGCTGTGTTGATTCATAGGGCAAGTATTTCATGGCGATACCATCAGTGGGATCATTTTCTCCACAGTTAGGGACATTAGATTCGACGTCGAGCTTGATTATCCTCGTTTTCGACGTATCGCACAAGAGAGTACGACGACCCCACCAGATTTTTGCGCTGATGCTTTTTTTCGTAAGGCTGTTGAGCGGTGCTTGTAACACGTGTTACAATCCGCTTAACCGTTTACTACGTTCCAAACAATCGTGGCAGAATTGCCGGCCTCAGCGCTAGGCATATATGCCCAGCTGTCGAGTGCGCTGATTCTTGGAGCGTGGACGATTATCGGGGTGATGGACTCTATGATCGTGTTGGGTGTAGGGCTAACCCAAGCTTTGGCCATTTCGAGTGCCTTCAACACCATGTGAGCCGAGCGTGGGTGGGTAGTGTGACCGGTAGCGTTCTTCGAGTACTGTCATTTCACATTGAATGATTATTCTTCGAACATCTGTCACCACGACATCGCTCATTTTGCCAAGTAGCAAGTGTTGGATGCACATGTTGTGCGCACTGGGCTCCTTCATGAGGAACATCGGCGGACAATGACGCACCCGACCAGCACGGTCAATGGAACTAAATGACATTTGGCTGTCGACAGACAACCCTTTTCGTCCGTCTACCGTCGTTCCTCTGTAGATGGTCCGTGTTCTCCGGCACGGTGCTGCTGATTTCGACTCTTCCGAGCTTACTCAAGATCATCACCTACTCTTCGCCTACTTGTAAGAACACCGTTGTCTTGTTTCCGATGGGCGGTCTCATGCGGGATACACGGATAACCGCTTTGGACACTCTATTCACCAGCTTCGGCAAATCACATACGCATCACTGGCATAGTCTTTGTGAGTCTTTGTTGGCTTCAGAACTCGGTACATCTGGCAACCCAACCCCGTGGCCATACGCCTGTCGTGTTCGCTCTCTTGACGGGACTCCTGACAATATTTGGGACAGACTGGTCTGTCACATTTGCTCTCCGCATCCTATTGGACGGCCTCGACAGGACATCCTCCTGTAACTACAGTGGCGCACTTTGTGAGTACGTTTTCACATCACTGCTTGTCAAGATCGGTCCAATGGTTTCGAGCACGAGGTTCGAGGATCGGTGACCGTGATGTTGTGCATGGATGTTTTGTGCGATGGTTGGATCAAGGCTAAGGGCAAACAAACCGGACGTCCCCGAGTCGAATTTCACCTTACGTTGTTCCAATACCCAGCCAGATAACTTGCAAAGCGGCCAACAAAGCGGTCTTGTTCACTGCTGCACGTTTCTGCCTGTTTCGAGCAGATTCTGGATGTGCATCGAATCTATTCTCAACGATGTCGAGGCTCATTCTGTCGTACCAGTCGGACGCAGGAATAGCCTCATGACGAACGTTCTTGATTTTGGTGATCCTGAAAACATGATACCGCTGAAGCCATCATCTTTGACAGCCGTCACAAACCGTCCGGGTTGTTTACAGACTGCACGGCAAACTACGGCGACGTCATCGCGCATGCCCTCGATCTACACCTGCGGGAGACCGGCCTCAACATGGTTGCCATGGTCGGGTTCACAACCGCTGGCGTGGTGTTGCTCATCACAATCGTGAACATCAAGAGCCGTCACGCCCACATCCTTGATGGCCTCGGCAGCCAAGCTATCGTCAAGAGTGCTACCGAGAGCAACAAGCATGGGAAAGATCAGACCGCGACGGACGGATCGTAGATGCTCCTACGTCGTCCGATAGCCGTTTCCCTACCAAGACGGAACTCGAATTCTAAATAACTACAGTCGTGGGGTAATATAAGCCGTAGCGTAGCGGCGATCAGCGAATTGACTTGTGCAGATGTATTGGACGCGCGGTCTTTAAAGTACGTTCGCCGGTGATGGCAGCACTGGTGAAAAGAACGATTCCGACCACCGCCGCAAAGAGAGAGTTTGCACTGCACGGCCTCTTTGTTTAATGGCAATAAACGTCTCTGGAGAGTGTAAATAGTGCTGTTTTTTTTCTCTTCCCATGCACGCGCGGTGTGCGGGTTAGCCAGTCGAGGGTGTCAATAGGACTACAGTATAGGACTAAGGTTGGAGGCATCCATAGCCTAATTGAGCAGGAGTACCTGCCATTGCTGGGAATACGAGTGGTCATCAACGTGGCCTTCAGGATAAGCAGGCAATAGCAGCCTCCCAAACCACGGGTTTCAATATCGTATCCATCGGGGAATGGCCTCCCGTTAACCGAGGTAGATGGGCTGCTATTTCAATCTTGACATCCAGAATTTGAGGTTGCCGATCAAGGATTGGACTTCATTTTTAACGGAATGTGCCGCTTCATAAGTCGGGAAGTACCCTTGGAGACAACGAATCCATACTTCATTTGGGCGCACCTCACGTGCATGTAGCGCTGTAGTTTACTTCGCATACACTTGTAATTGTAGGAACGCCTTGACTCCTAAATCGGCCATTGGCTTGTTTCCCTTCGGCAAATCACGTTTTGTTTCCATGCTGTGGGACATGAATTGATGTGCAACTCCTCGACGAGTTTCGTCGGCGTTGCGTGTCTGAAGCTTCCCTTGATTTTTTTACGGGAAGCCGCAAGTTCTTACTACGGTAACACTCTCGAGTACGAGACACAGCAAAAAAAAAAAGTGACTGGAGAATGAAGACGTCCAGACCGCGATGAAGACCTTGAAACTATAGTGCCGACGATGACTAGGCCAAAGAACTAAATCCGAAGAAAACCTACCATGACAGGATACATACAAAAAAGACGTAAACGCCAAAGAATCACACGAACAAACGCCTCAAGCAGTTCTCCCCGATGGGCTGAGCGGAAGCATGTTGGTCGTTTGGCGATAGGCTTCCACCGGATGGGCTGCAGCGGCACCGGCGGCGAGAGGGGTGACCCCCGGCAGCAGAATTTGGCCCGCGGCGGGGGCGGCGGCGGGGGAGACGGCCGGGGCGCAGGCACTCGCGGAGGGAGCGGCAGCATCGGTCGCAGCACCGGCGACGAGAGTGGTATCCCCTGGCGGCAGGGCTTTCCCCGCGGCGGCGAGGGGAGACGGCCGGGCCGCAGGCACTCGCTGCGGGAGCGGCAGCATCGGCAAGCGATGGCATGGTCGGCAGGCAAAAGAAAGATGGTGGTTTGTGTGAGTTAGATTGAAACGTCGCACAAGAAGACTTGCGCAGCGTGCGTCGACGAGCGAAGAGTGACCAGAAGTAATGCTGTTGCAAGACATAACTCTATCTACACGCCCTGACTGGCCTACGTGACCGCGAAACACGCGATGAAGACAACGTGGAAGATCATACTGAAACGTAGAAAGCACCGACTGCGACACACACTGGGAAATATTTAGACAACGAGCTTCGTTCGTGGAATCGCAAAGAGCACCCTCGCGTTGTAGATGTCCCTCCGCTCGACCTCGCCGGGCGCGACATAGCACTTCTAGAAGGAAGCTGCCTTGTCGACGGGCATGCCGAGAGGGCCATTGTGGGCGAGTAATGCGGCATGTATTGGCGCGAAGTGATGGCGTACAGCGACAGCTGTACGGGCGAGGGACGGAGCGGAAAACTCCTACTTGTGCTGCAAGTTGAAGACGACAGGCCAGCGTACCTTCTTCGTGATGTCGACCGTCGACTCGCCCTTCAGGCACTCTCTGCAAAGAGGCGGCAAAAAGGGAGGAGGAAAAAAAAGGTTGTGAGGAAGGACAGTTGCAAACGGCTAAATAAATCCGGGCAAAGTGTGTTGCTGAGAATAAAGTGTGCTTCTCACGTCAGTTGATTGTCATACTGGCGATACCCTACGCGCCCGTGGAAAATAAAGCGGAAATGCATGGCCGTAAAACAACAAAGCGCAACAAAGATCTGAACACAAGGCCACATGAGAGCAAGCACCATATACCACGATGGTACGATCCACACACTTCTTCCAGTGGAGATGGAGGGTGAGGGAATCGGAATAAGAGGGTCTGCGACAAAAACGAATTTAGGTCGGAGAGACTGAAGCAGCTTCAGAATTGTTTCATGATTTTGCACTGTTCCCTGATTCGGGCGTAAATTTTGAATTCTACCGGGTATGCCAAGTTGCAAAGATAACGCCTTCGAGGTATCTTTATGTACGTATTATTTTATGGCTGGAAACGAGCCCTATTGCCACGCCATGCGACCTTTCTCGTTACCGTTTCTCGCGCCAGGGAGCACTTTGCTGTCCGCAACATGCTTTGTTCGGACTAAGCCAATAGGTTTGCCACTACCCCTCGTCACAGCCCTTACCTTTCCCCCTCCGTTTTCACCGCCTACCTTGGGATGGGGTGCCTGAAAGATAAATGACGGATTGACATCACGAAGAAGGCATAGTGGCCGGTCATCTTCAACCTCCAGAAGAAGGAGTTTGTCCCGCTCCGCCTCTCGCCCGCGCAGCTGTCTCTGTACGCCATCACGTCTCGCCAGTATGTTCCGCACTACTTGTGGCCTGCCCACAACGACCCTCTCTGCATGCCCGTGGACAAAGCAGCTTCCTTCTGGAAGTGCTACGTTGCGCCCGGCGAGGTGGAGCGGAAGGACAGCAACAACGTGAGTAAGGGTGCTCTTGGCGGTACACCACGTCGTTCCTTGTCTAGACGTTTACCCGTGTGTGTCGCAGTCGGTGCTTTGTTCCTTTCCGTATCATCGTTCATTTAGACTTCGTCGTGCGTCTTGCGGTCATGTAGGCCATTCAGCGCACGTAGATAACGTTACGTCTTGTGACGGCACCCCTTCCGGGCACTCTTCGCTCGTAAACGTTTCAATCTAATTCACACAAACCATCTTTTGATTTTGTTGCCGACCATGCCCATGACCTGCCCTGATTTTAGGTACTGGCCGCGGTTCCACCTGGCTCGAGTGGGATCTCGCCGACGCCGCCTTCGGCGACATGTCCGTCGAGAACGCGCGGTCCTTCGCCTCCCGCCACCGTGACATCCTCTCCGCCGTGTCGGCGGCCGACGTCAACCTGGCATGCGGCGCAGGAGATGCTCCGCCCGCGCCGACGCCAAGCCCTCCTTCACGCGAGCCCTCCGCAGACAACGCCGACCGCACCGACGCGACTCGTGGCATCGTGGACATGTCAGCCTTCCTGGACGCCCTGGACAACCCCCTCCTACTTCGCAACATCGGCATAGGTCGTGACAGCAACGACAACGACCAACCTCCCAGCGCCTCCTCGTCTTGCCCTTCCGTACCATAGGAATTCCGTTTCTGACGGGAGTAATCCTGGGTTGCTGTCGCACCAACGGTACGTCGATACAGGCATGACTTCACCTCCAACAACAAGTTGTTTCTTGCGGGATTCACATGTTACGTTGCAACTAGCGCGCAGTCTTTACAACGGGTCATGTGGGACTGGGTGTCCCTCCAGTTGCACGACGCGTGCGCATCTTCTCTCCTGTTGTACATACTTTATTCTTTGATCATCTCCGGTCTTGCGGGATGACGTGTTTGTTGTCGCCCCTTCGGAGTTTGCGTGCGCAAGTGCCAATTCTCGCACGGACAGTATGAGGTATGATGATCATACAACACCAGTCTTATGTCTTCACTCTATCGAACAACATGCGCACACACAGCTTTACCGAGGAGATGCCCGTACAGCCAAGTCCTGACGCGGCCTTTATCTCGCGCGCGGTCTGGACGGCGCGGCCGGCCGTACCCGTGTGAACCAGCCAAGAAGTCGGCGGAACGACGGCGCGGAGGGCGGACGGGGGCGTCCTGCAGAATCGGGTTTTAAGATTCCGGCGCAAGTACGCCCAAACGCAATAGGCGGTGGTAGCGATTACCAGAGGCTCGCCTTCCACGACCCGAGCACTGTAGGTCCCTGGTGTAGAAATTCACTAGGGGTTGGCGAGGCGCCAAGAACGCGTGCTCGCGAGGAGGGCGGTCGACCCCTGGCAGAAGGGCCTGTACGGACTCACGCGTCGACGACGAGGATGCCGCGCTTGTCCGCGATTGCGCGCGTGCTTTGCGCGTTGCCAAGGGCGCGGCGCTCGAGCAGGTGGTTGGCGAAGGGGGTGTGGAGGAGGAAGAAGAGGAGCTGGGCGTGCGGCGGCTGGGTTGGGGCATCTATGATGTGGGCGAGGTCGGGAAAAGTTGTGAACACCGTTAGGGGGTGGGTGCGTTTGTCTATGGTTGAGATTTTGTTTTTTGTTTTAAGCGTGTGCCTGATGTGGTTGGAATTGGACACGACGTGTAGGCGCGTCACGTCGTGTGCATGGAGGCGTTCGGGAGCGGAGGTGAGGGTGCTGCAGCCGTGGCCAAAGCAAAGAGGGCTATTTCATGCTCGTTTTGCACATATCGCGCGGAACACACTGCCAGGAACAAAGTATTTCAGAATTTCTCATCTCGCGGCTCAAGCACCACCGCCAAAAAAGTCTTACAGAATTTTCTGCATAGTGCAAGAGGTCGTCCGGCCTGAGCGTCTGCCAACAGCACCAAAATGTGCACTTTGTTTATCGTATGCGACGTCGCCCTCTTGTAGCGTAGTTTATACATACATACATGCGGCATGCACGGCGCGCCTCCGGAAAGCTTTCATCATAGCGTACAAATAGTACGAGTAGTGTCAAGAACTACTTTGATGCACGACGAGACAACTACTGCCCAAATGGGGGGGGGCAGTCTACTGCTAGATGTATATACATACAAAAACAAATGAATGCACTGTTGCTCAGCTAGGTAGGGGGGTGGAAGCACCGAAGGAGCAGCAGTGGGACGTTTCTTACTGGACACGCTCCTCCAGCTACCCCTTGTTTCTGATGTCTCGGGGGTATCGCACGATCATGTTTCTTATTGGGACGTTTCTTATTGGGACGTTTCTTATATTGTGGCCGAGATTGAGATGTGTTAGCACTTTTTTCTTATTTTTCGTGAAGACTTGGACCTTTTTGTCTTCACAAAAAAAAAAACGAACTGCGGGCGCCATCTGTACAACCTGAACAGGCCAAGTAGATACGCTTCCGAGTTCGTACAGGCCAAAAGTATGTAATTGCGATTTGCACAGCAATCGTGTCCATCGCACCCACATTTTTGTTTCTCCAGAGAGAAATTCGAACTCCACCCTGCTAATGTTAATAGTTGTTTTAAGACGTGAACCTACATAAACGACGGGGCACCGTACACGTATGTTTGATGGGAGTCGTTGCAGCAGTAGACTAACGGCAGAGGGCGTTGTACCCGCTCAAGAGATGGTGTGATAAAATTCAATTTTCAAAATTCATGAAGATGCTGGGTTGACAAAATTCAAATTTTCTCTTACATGAACGTGTTCGGAACTGCTCGCGCCCTTTTCAAGGCGGGATGTGCCTGACAGATCAGGTGCGGCGCGCAACAAATACACGTAGTGCGCTCTTACATGAGACGGCTGTTAAACTCATGCCTCACAATCGCACCTGGACATCTGCTGTCAAACCGGGCTTCACGGTGAGCAGAAGGTGGTTGCCTGTTGTTGGACGTGGACGTGGACCAGCTTGCGTGGTCGTTTGATCGCCAAGTCCTGAACTCTCAGCGTCACAGCGAGCTGCAATACCGCTTACCACCATGCCCTCCCCAACCTGGGTGTCTGTCTCTATGTCTCTCTGCTGTGGAACCTCTGCTCCACAGCAAACCAAATGAATGATGCACACCGGATCAGCATGAACAGAAATAAAGAAGGACCAGGGGCTCCGCGAGCAGCAACTTTGGGAGGGGGTCGCGACCGTGGAGGTGCGCTGGCCCAGAACAGCGTAGAGCGTACACAAGAGACAAGCTGCTGCTGTACACGAGGTACTGCACGAAGGTACTGCACGAGAGGCACAGGATGTGCGGCTGTGCGCGAACGATAGATCCTTCCCACCACACTTTCTCCGCATCTTGTACATGCTACGACGCGTCGCGGCAAACTGGGCGATGCAACACGGCAACGGCGGGACGAATATGCCGCAGGCCGAGGGCGGGGAGGTTGCAGCACCTGGGCAAGGCACCCCTTGGAAGCTGGTGCGCGAGCAGCGGGGCTGGCATGAGAATAGGATTGCTGGTTGGCCTTCTGGCGGCTTCAATACGGCGGGTTGAGGTGCGCTTTCGTTAAGGTTGCCACAAAGGTGGAGAGAGGTGCCTCTCTCGACCTATTTTTTGTGTAGAAGAAGAGTATTATCCTCACCGCTCGCCCCGCTGGCTCTCTTTTTGTCCCCCTCGCGCCCCATCGCGAAGTGTGGGTAAGAGTTGTACCAAAACGTGTCAGCCGCTATAGCACGCTATTTGTAGGCAATGAAATCTACAGCTTGTTGCGGGCGACCTTACCAAAACAGGCACGTTCGGCGGCCGTGGACGGTTTCTACAGCAGTGTACCGCAAGTTTTGTTTTGGTTGAGAATATTGACTACTGCTGCAATACCAAGAATGTTGTGTAGATAAATTCACAACAGCGACAGCCGACAGCCGGACTCCAGTACTCGCTGCAAGTCTTTTTCAGAAAGTATATATACACACGTTCGAGGTAAATTCGTACCTACCGTCGAAGGATTGGGTTGAAGTCTTTGCAGCGAGTAGGAGAAATATCTTTGTTGTTCATTGGATTGCTGCAACGGGTCGTTCATACTGCTGCAGTTTGCGTCAACCTTGGCGGGTTTACAGCAGTGCTCGCTGCCCCCGATCCACACAAATGACTCTCTTCAGCAGCGGCGACAGATGCATACCTCCATTTAGACTACACCTCACCGGCTAGGAGCCTTGTAAGTCAACACGGACCCTACAATGTATTGGACGCGGCAACGATGTACATGTGGTCGAGGCCTATGGTATACCAACTACGGCATACGTTTACATGGGTTCGCCCCCGCTTCCATCGACTCCTGTGCCGCCGTCCAATCCCACCCCCACTCATCGATAAACGTTCGGACTGGTTTTGACGTACGAACACGCGGATATTGTTTCCTACCGATGTTTTGTGTTATTGATGCTGCGTGAAATATTGATGTTGTCATCACCTGTCCGGCGTTCACAACCCTCGCCCTCTCGTGGTTAGAGGATTTTGCTCTTTTGCGTCAAACGTTTGTGTTGGTGTTCTCGAAGAAACTGTTTTCTGTTTACCACACAGAAACTCTAAGTCGATCGAGGCTGCAGTGGGAAGGATATCTACCGCATGTGACTGCCTGTTCGACCCAGGATTTCGCATGAAACGATGGCATGCTGAATATTGAAGTGATGCCGATGATCCATACCAAGATGCATCGTTTTGTTTCGACTTGACAGATGCACGTCTTCAGAGAACGGCAGCAGGCCGGCCGTCGGGCGGGCCATTCCAAGTGTTGTATTTTGTCGACAAGCCGCACGCTGTAATATTAATAGTATATGCGCTTTCCTTTTGGTAGTGCCTTTACCTCCCTTGGAATATTCATCTCCTATCGACCACCCTGCCCACTCTAGCCACTGGCTCAGCTTTCCATTTGCGTGTTTCCAAGCTTCCAAGGCAAGAAGCCTTCGCAGATTTTCTATTTAGTAGACATGTTGGATCAAGCATCAATCGGGGAAGTTGAGTTAGGGTTGGGGATATTTAGGTGCTTACCCCTCCCTGTTCTATTCCCTCACAGACTTTACTTCTCGCGAAGGCGGTGCTCCAAGGCATACCACACCCTCTGCATGACTATCCGATTGTCCTCCCAACCCTCCGTTCCCCCTTGGTTGCTTCGTGCGGTCTTTTTTGCGTGTTTCCTCGCGGTAGGCGTATCCCGGGGATAGCGATCCTTGGTGGGTGTTCGTGACGATGCCGTTCATTTCTGGTGCGGTTGGGTAAGCCCATGTTTTGCTGTCTGATTTTGTATCGGCATGGAAAAATCGTAAGCACGCCGCGCATGTACCGTGTGAGAGTTTTCCTGACAGTGCTCAAGTAGCGACTGTTCGTGAATCGGCGGAACGCGTGAGTTTTGAATTGTCGCCGGGAGAGCATGCCGAGATCGCGGCTCGGGCTATTTGTTGCATACCGGCTCGACAATCAGGCTCGCGCGGTTCGACAACGTAAGGTACGATTTTGTGGTTTATGGCATCGGTGGCCTTCTCGTTGCTGTTCTTGTGGTCGCGCTGCCTTAGCCATCCGACCGGCCAACCCTGCTCGAATTCTAGTCGCCTGCCCGAATCGTTGGTTGTTTTTGTTGATCTTCACAATGCGCCGACGACGGGACGCACGGTTAAACGGAGCATGTTTTATGGAGTTTTGCTCTGTTGCCACGCCTCATCACCTTGCCTTGCCTCTGCAGGCAGCCTCGCCTACAGGATGTGCTGTCTTTAACGTGTTGTACGTTGTTGAAGTCCTGGCCACTGCTGTTGTTGTTTAACAACTCTGTTCTCTACTGCAGATACGTGACCAACATCCTAGCGCTCAAGATGACGTTCTATCCGGTCGAGTTTTGGGGCATCAAGATCTGGCAGCCGGAGGACCAGCCGCTTGGGTGCATTGGGTGGCAGGTGCTCGTGCTTTACCCCCCCGTAGTTGTTAGCCTTGTGTTAGCTGTGAGTTAGATTGGAATGGTGTCTGCATCAGCGCCCCCTCCCAAGGATCACCCGGGTTCGGCGTCGCATGTCGAGTAGCATGCCACTGACGTCCGGATCGACTTGCCTCCTCTGTATCTGTACAGCAGAGGACCGTTGTACAAATTCGTTAGCCGTGAGTTGCGACAGTCACGTTCTGCCGTTTGCTGTTTGTTGCTGCTGCAACGCATCGACGTGCGTGGTCGATGGCTACTGCTGCAGCAGCAGGGAATCGTTAACGTTTTATTTTTTTGTGAGTTTGTCGCCATGCCTGTTTTTGTACAGCATCATCCTTCGTTCCGGTCGGAGCTTGTGTCCAGTCTGAGTTGCAGCGGGGCATTGGTGTGTTTAATCTTGTTCTCATGCCAGCGATACATATCATCGCGCGTGTTTCTTTGCGCCACAACAGGGTATCGTGCCTGCGAAGGCGGCCAAGATGGCGCAAAAGAGCGTTACGCTCATGACCGAGAAACTCATCAACATCAAGGTATGTTTGAGGCTCAATGATTCCCCCGCCGAAGTTCTCATTCGATATTCTCTCCCACGCCTACCGAGTCTGCTGTCTTCCTCTGTTGCTCGAAGCTATCCGGTGCCCTCCCCACGGAAGGTCGACACGGTCACTGCTTCGTTTCTCCCGACGCATTTTTCCCTTGTACATATAAAGGAAGTGTTTTCCCGGCTGGATCCCGATGAGATGTGCGAGGCGCTCGAGCCCGGACTTCTGGCGGTGGTGAGTTGCCCGCAGTTATGTAAGACACTGCTTCTCGGTGCCACAGGCCACCGTCTCGCGTGGTCGATTGCCTTGGGTAGGCGCTTTGTGCTTCTGCTGCTGCTGCTGCTGCTGCTGCTGCTGCTGCTGCTGCTGCTGCTGCTGCTCCTATTGCTGGTGCTGTTTGCTTGGCTGCTATCTTTTGAGACACTCTGTCGTCGTCGTTTCCGCGGCTGCGATTGCCTCAGCGGGCCGTGGCTGTTTTGTGCTATCAATAGCGCTCGACGTGCTGCATCACGCCGTCGTTTCTCCACAAACCCTCGCACCCACGATGGCGGGGCCCCGGGTAGTCGGTTTCCCGCATATTTGCACCTGTTTCGGTGTGTCAGGAAGGTTAAGTGCCCTCCGAAAGTGTTGTGTCTCTCCGGCGATGATGTTGTTTTTTTGCTCTTGTGTCCTGCGCGTTGTTCGTATTCCCAACGTAGGCCCGTGTTGCACGACGCGGTTGTTTCGTTGTTGGGGTTCCTTTTTTTCGGTTCCCGTGGCATGCGCTGGTGCGTCCAGAATTTGTACCTGCCGAAAAGATATAAAGACCGACGTCCAGCATCGATGGTAAGGGATGCGACAAAAAGACGATCATGCTCGTTGTGATTCTTGACGGACCTTCTTGGTTTATAGGATAGAAAGGGCGGAGGTATCGATTGCACAAAGCGCGTCTCGCCGCACAGATACAGCAGTTTGATCGTGTTTTGTTCTGTGTCTGTCCGCAAACCAGCTAAATATATGTTCCGCGCAACACAGCAGCACGTTTCGCGCTCTCGCGTATGTAAGCGCCTCCCTTGTTCTCCCGTGCGCTGTGTCTCCTGCTGTCAGGTGAGCAGGGTGGTGACGGAGATGGCGGCGAAACACATGCCTGGGACGTGGCACTTCTTGCCGGAGGCATCTAGGGACGACATCGTCCTCAAGGTGTGCGACTGGCCGCCATACTGGCTTTTCGACCACGAACAAGCGCACCTCGGGGATGGACGTTTGGCCATTCTCCGTGCAGTATCACCGCCCGATGCGTTGTTTTGAATGACCGAGATCCAACCCTTTATCAGCGCTGACTTGCCTAGGGGATTGATTACGATTCTATTGATCGCGCAACCGGAAACCTGATTCTGGAACGTCTTCTATATATACCAAAATGGGCATGTTCTCCGGAGATGTTCAGTGGCCACCTGGAAGAATCGGAACAGGTTAAATAGATACCCGGGGAGAGCATCAAGACAAGTTGTTCGGGCCGCTTGCTGCGTCCGGTGAAAAAGCGCGGCTCCCTTGCCTCGGGGATCTCTGTCTCCGAAGGGTCAAGAGCCTACCGTTGGAGAAGCCCTTTTGGTATCGTACTATGTAAATGTTTCGGCGTTGTTTTGAACCCAAATCCTGGCGTATATGCAGCTGTGGACCAAAGCAGGTGGCGGCGAAACTGGTCTACCCGAAACGAGCCCACGTCGAAACCCAGTCGCAAACGAACACGCCGCTATTTTTTTTCGTCTCGTCGACCTCGACAGGCTCTTGAGGACGTGCCGATTTTCATGCGCTCCTTCATGGGCGAGGTGAAGACCAACATCGACGACGTTCTGGACGTCCACCACATGGTAATCACCAACCTCGTCAAGAACAAGGCCCTCATGAACCGGGTACGACGAACAAGAACGGTTGCTATTTTCGTTTGGTTAATGTTCTTGTTTTCGTCGGTTTCGTCGACTGGCTGCAGGTGTTTCCGGGTTCCGGACGGTTAAACATGAAACCGTTATTGACCCACTAACCCAGGTTTGGGGGGGCAAAGTAATTCGTCTAGCGTCACTGGCAATATGTTCCTACCGAACGACCTCTCCAGCTGGAGAGTTCTGATCCGGGGTCCGACCGAGATCATTTCGGTGCCTTGTTCCTTTCTACTGGTATTTTTTCCTTTCTTATGTATTCGTTTTTTTGGCTTTCAGTCGCGAACGAAATTATCGAACGCTTCGGCCGTTGTGATTGCCGGGGCGGGAATAACGGCTTTCAACACAGCATTTATCGTACCCGGCGTTGTTTTTTTCGGTGTTGTTGTTGTATCTGTGGCGTCTCCATGGTTGCTGTGTGGTCGGCCTCGTAATTTGTGTTGTTCGGTCATCGGTGGTTTGTGAATCCGGGGATTCCCAGCTCCTCTCTGCGTCTGTGTTCAGCGCCGTTGTGCATCGCGTTTCGGGCGCGTAGGGGGTCTGGTTGATGAGAACTGACCAACACAAAGATGGAGCCTCCTGGTTCGGTTGTGTTTGTGGCCAGCTGCTGCCCGACGCACTTCACACCCGTCGGTTTCGCTGCCGCCTACGTCTTAACGGGCCTTCTCGTTTGTGTTTTTTTTTGCGCCGCAGGTGTTCATGGAGGTCGGCGCGAAGGAGCTGGTCTTCATCGAGAGGTCCGGCCTGCTGTTCGGGTTCCTGTTCGGCTGCTTGCAGACATGCCTGTGGTACTTTTACCAGGAGAACTGGGTGCTTCCCGTCGGTGGTCTCGTGGTACGCAGTCCATGAACCTTCCTGTTGAAGTAGTGTGTGTGTGTGTGTGTGTGTGTGTGTGCTGGCCCCAGTCAGACGCACCTTTCGGTGTTATGGACGTTTCTGGACTTGTTGATAGTTTTCGTGCGTGATGGCGGCTACTTGTGATGTTGGCCGCAACTGAAACGCCCGAAATCATGCTTTTGGTATTATCACGTATGCGTATGTTGCAGTTGGGTCGTGAGTGCCACAGTATGAGCTCTTCCCCCCAGGGACGACTTCCTCGGGCTACCCGCCGGCAGTGTCCTGGCACAAAGCCGAATCGGTTCCGATTCCGTCCGTGCTTTTTCCAATTTGTCGAAGGAGGACATGCTGCATTGCTACGGATTTGGTGATGATGCCGTTTCTGATGCGCTGTGTTGTGTGCAGTTCGGCAGGTTTTCTGTTTACTGGTTCGTTCTCATCGTCTGTGGTTCCGCTGATGGGAATTTGGCATGGCTCATCTCCCTCCGCCGGTGCAGTGTTTGGTCAGGGATTGTTGTCTGATTTCTGGTTGCTAGTGATCCATTTATATTTGCCCCTTTCATTTGATTTTGCTTCGTACTTCAACATCAGGTGGGCTGGCTGACGAACTACCTGGCACTGAAGATGATCTTCCGACCGGTCAACGTAAGCAGCGAATACGATTGATTGATTTCGTTGGCTTCCCAAACGGCGGGAAGTTCCGGTGGTTTTCAACAGCAACTGCCGTTGCGTGCTACTGACGTGTTCGCTCGTGTTGTTTATTCCATGTGTTTTCGTGTTGTTGGAGTCATTGATGTCGCCAGAACGTTATAATTGTGTACCTGTTTTAGTACGTCACTATTGGCACCATACAAAACTTTTCAGTAACATGGCCATGCACGCGTGAAAATGCGGCACAGCATCACCTTTCCGGACGCCAAGCATCTGTGTCCCAAATAATTCCCCGCAGAGTTCCCGGCATCAAACGCATCAAGAGCGCGTACGGCGGATACGCCCACCTTATTTATCTGACCGTAAGGGCCGTCGACTACAGTACCCGCCCCTTCCGGCCCGTGCGTGTCTTCTCCTTGGCAGGAGCGGATCGTGTGCGGCTTGAAACTGCAAGGGCTGTTCTTGAAACGGCAGACGGAGGTGTCGGCACACTTCGCCGAGATCACTTCGAACGAAATCCTCACCTCCCAAGCCATGTGGGAGGTGAGCTGCCCTACCGAGCCTGCTGTTGGTTATTGCTAGTTTACCTTGGACGAATGCTCACCATGTGTACGTATGTATTCCCACACGCTATATTTGTCGATTCTGTTCGGATGTGCGCAGTTTTAAGAGGTTGACGATGGAAAAGGGCGGCTGATTCTGTTTCACAGTACAACGTGAAGCATGCGCTGCAGAAGGAAAGTGGAGAAGAGAGAAAGAAGTTTCCTGTGTGGCCTCCCTCCTGTGTGACCCAGGCTGGTGCCTTCAGAAAACACAAAGAAAATTGCAATATCTGACGTTTATTATATAATACAATACACCGGACGACACGAACACATAATTTCGGTTGTTGGCCATCGCGCGTTCCCATCTTTCACTCTCCACGCAGGCAATATTGACGGGGCCGAAGCGAGATAGCTTCAACGACATGTGCAAGAGGCATACCCACAATTTCGTCGACGACATGGCCGGGAGCATGAGGCCGCTGGTGCAGCACATGATCGGGGAGAACGAGTTCGTCGGCCTGAAGGACGAGATTGCGCAGCAGATGATAGAGAACCTGCCCATGGCAATACGGTAGGAATCTTGTCGCACGAGGGTGCTGGTTTTGCTTGCGCTGTGGTTCGGCACGGGGGCTTTCAATGTCGCAGGCGAGGTGTTGCCGTAGTGACACCAAAAATACGGCCAATAGTGGTGCTGTACGCTCCGTGCTTGAGCTATTTAGCAACCGCCGTCTACTACCCAACTGCCAATAGCGTTCGCGACGGTAATGCCTACCGTGTCTGTACCGGCTTGAGAGCATTCCTCGAAAGCTTGTCTTTTGTCTGGACCGGCCGATCTTTGTCTTGGGGGAGTGAAACCGGCGCGCTTCGCCTGCTGCATGTTTCCCCCAAGGCCCACCTGCCGCCGAGAGTACTGTCTGCGAGAATACCCCCACTTCCACCATTTTTTCCAAGATGCGGATGTCGAGGTGGTGCTTTACGCCCGACTTGCCTTTTTCCGTGTGCTGCGGTTGGCTTGACAGGTTTGGGCACACGTACACGACGAAGGCGCTCGACATGTCCAACACGATCCGAGTGGTGAGAGTTTAGCACGCTGTTCGTGTTGTTTGTCGCCGGCGTAGATGCCCGGCAGCCTTGTTTCATTTTTTTTCTCGTACAACATGTATGCATAGACTTTGTAGTTTTTCTCGCGTGACCTTTTTTTTCTGTACCAGAACCCACGCCGTTCAGAAGCAGGACACGGGTTTCAGTTGTCCGTGTCCTGGCTGTGCCCTTGACCCCCGCCCCTCTATCTCCTGTATCGATGTTCCCATCCCTCTCCCTAGAATATTTCCTTCCGACCTTCTAGTTTTTTCGTATCGCCATTACTGCTATCACTGCCTGTCCCCCTCCACGCCGTCAATTTCGCGACCTCACGTTTCCTCTCGCTCCCCACGCCAATGTTGTGTTGCGTCTATTCTGCCGATTTTTGGAAGGCGATGCAAGGGCTGAGTCCGGCGGAATTCGAAGGCGTTCTCCATCCGGTGTTCGAAGAAGACGAGTGGAAGCTCATCTTGGTCGGGGCGGCGTTGGGTGCTGCGGTCGGAGTGTTTCAGCTGTTCGTCTTGTTCTAGGAAGGGGGCGCCGGGCCTCGCGCACCCACTGCTCCAAGCAACACTGCTGTTCTTCAATAGTCTGCACCATCTTGTCTTTTTTTAATCTCGGCAATCCCAAACACAACAACACTGGCTCCACAATGCCCTCCGAGATGGTAGCTTTTGTGTGAAGGCGCGATCCAGGTGGTGTTTGGCAAACAGCCCACGCCCTTGTGCGTTGATTTGTGTCACTGCTCGTGATACCAAGTAGAGATTGTGTTGGTCTCGAGAGACTTCGACTCCGGCGGTCTGGTGTGAGTGCGACAATGGGTAGCCTCGCATCGGCGTCACGGAAGGAACTTGCAGTAACCCCCCAAAGAGCACGTTTTCCCGTCTATTGCGGTCGTTAGCTGTCGTCCACACAGTAGTGGGGGAAACGTCAACCCCCGGGGACAGTGGCGTTCGAGTCCAGACGCACTGTTTATCGGCGCTGGGCCCTCCACGTGTTTTCTGTTATGAATTAAGCCTTTTGGGTTTTTGCCCGGTACGTTGCGCAACCGGTTGAAGGTATACGCAAGAGACGAGAGAGTACTTGATGGGGACAAGGTGAGGGTCGACGTCGCGACTTTCTTCGACGTCTTTCGGGATTTGGCCAGTACATTGCGCAACCAGTTGAAGGTACACGCAGCAGGAGAGAGTAGTTGATGAGGACAACGTGAGTTTCGATCGTCGGCCCACGTCGTCCCCATCAAGCACTCATCCTTCTGCGTATGACCTTCAGCTGGTTAACTTGCGCAACGTACTGGGCAAAATGCGTAAGTTCTCGTGAGACTGCTGTCAATGGTCCCCATCCAGTACTCTCACTGTACCTTAACTGGGAACCATCCTGCACTATTGGTTCTAGGGAGACTGGCGATGTCAAGGTTCCCTTGTCGCTTGGTTTTGACGACACGAACAACACCAATAGCTCACCGTTACGTGCATAGGAGACCTTTGCGGATAATTCTCGGAAATTTTCCTTGGCTGGGAATGCGCTGCACCACTCTTGTACTTCGTCGATTGCGACCTTTCACCGAGAGGGCAGCTTATCCCGAATCTGTTTCCTCGCACTGCCTAGAGGAATTCGCGATCTGTTGAAATGTAAAGGTGGTGAAGCCGAAGCAAGCTACGGGTGCTGGATAGGTGTAGGAAAGAGGTGACTGCGGCGTGTAATGTGTCGTCCCCTTGCTCCCCTAGTGGTAACGCCTGCGCCCAGAATTTGAATTTCTGGAACTCCCTTTTTTCGCGCGCGGCTCCAGCCGCTCTCGGCCATGTCGCTGCCTGCTGCGTCTAGTGTCTAGGGGTTAGGCCGGCGGTAGTCGTCCAGCCTCAGGTCACTCTTGGGTCAGTGTGCAGGAGCGTGGGATCGAGATGCTTGCGTTGCCATACCAGGAGGTCTCTGGTGAGAGCTTATCGCGTGTATGGAGCTTCCACGCGGGCAGCAGAGAGAGGTCGGAGTGCCCACGTACTCCAGGTTTAAACTTACTTGCACTTTACAGCAGTGTTAGACTATTGCTGGTTCCCTCTGCAGGAGTCAGCCCGTGTTGCGGGAGGTAGAGGGCGCTGCTGTAGAACGGGAGGGACGTGTAGCTTCGATATCAAACTCCGGAACCTACTGCCTCCCCTGTGTTCTTGTGCCTAGCCTTGCCTCGCTGCTCGTCGTTGAGACGGACATGTGTGTTCGGTAACGGCCGTTGAGTGCAGTGAGCGAAGTGTTGATCCGGTTCGGAACCAGCAAAGCAGATGTGACTTGTGACGACCAGCGCACCCTGGTACTGAACCAAAGTTACCCTCGTAGTACGGTATGTGGTTACCCTTTAGCCGTTGTTGCCTGTACTGCGCCACTCAATTGTAGTCGCTCGGTAGGTCGAGACTATTATACAGTACATGCGGTACATCACAAAAGCAGCGGTGGGATGCACCTACAAGCAGCGTACATTTATAGCAGCTGTGACATGTGACGACCAGCGCACCTCATCAGTAGGGTATGTGCTTACCCTTTAGCCGTTGTTGCCTGTACTGCGCCACTCTGTTGTAGACTCTCAACAGGTCGAGAGTACATGCAGGTACATACAGCAACGGTGGATGCACGTATGTAGTCTACTGTACCACGCGCAACTTGCGTCGTTTCATGCCCGCTCCGCACGGCAACAGATAGTACCGACTTTATGCTCCCACTGCGGAACCTCTTTTTTTTGTGTGCTGCAAGCAATCAGGGTGCTACAGAGTTTAGGTATTGCGTAGGAGAACGCTTGACTTCTCTATTCATCAATGGGTAGGCTAGGCATGCCAACATGACGAGTATCGCAGTCTCCCGGCAGTGGCCCTTCTTGAGTCACGCAGGCGTGGCTGTTGTCTTGTTTACTGTTTTTTTCTTCGCTTCAAAACCGTTCCGATCTCTGCTCACTAGCATCTAACGTCCAACCACACCAAAAGGTTACAGCACCGAGAAGCAACTAGTTATTTATAATGCTACGAACTCTGGACTTCCTTTGTAAATTATTGCGCAACCGTCCGTGGCTTCATCACTCATGGTCTCTCGTTTGAGACGCATAGCACGTGCTCGATGCATGGGTGAGACCGGTTTGGAAACCCGACGCTCTAGAAAGCCTCAAAATATTTGGACGTTGCATTTCTAATTTGTAGTACATCGTCCACCTTCCCTACCTCCCCTACGGCACCATGCATCACAGGTGGAGCTGGGCTGGAGTGATTGCAAGAGGATCGGGCGGGAGTTTCCCGGTAGAGCGAGACATCGTTGCCTGGAGAAGGCCCAGCGTACACGCACACCTTTCCGGGTTACAAGGTCAGGCCCGATAATGCGAATGGAGGACCCGCCGCCATCGTCCACGCTTGTCCACGCGTCTACTCATTGGGTAGATCAAGAGGGGATTCGCAACGCGGAATACGGTGGGATCCCCCCCGCCAAAAGCAACACGGACGACGACAACATGTTCGGCGGCAACGACCGACTCACCAAGGACCCGAGCCTGCGGCGATCGTTCCCGGCTGCGCCGGCCTGGGGTGGAGACGGTGCAAGCCTCGGACACGTAGCATCAGCAAGAGCAACACCGGGGGGTTCTGGAGCAGCGCCCGCCACGCCTGACGGATCAGCGGCACGAGCACCGAGGAAAGAAGGTGGAGGGAGAACACTGGGTGAAAACTCCGGGATGATGAGCGGGCTAGCGGTGGAAGCAGGCGATGGCGGGGAGGGGGGCGGGGTTGGCCGTGCACAAAGCAGCACGGGTGGAGGGGACGCGCGGCTCCGGGGTCTCACCAGCAAGGCAAGCCGGGAGTTATTAGCGTTGGGTTTCCTGATGCTCTTGAATCTCGACGGTGGAGATTGCAACATGAACTATCTTGCAGAGCCTGTTACGGACAGGGAAGATATCGCGGTATGCTGCGTGGGCGTGGGGAGTCGTAGAAACACTGCTTCCGCTAACGCTAAGAATTCATTGCTAATTTATCCTAGAGATAGATTCATTGGGGTATATTAATCATGAACAACATGAACGAAGGGTCTGGGCCATAGCGGTTGACCTCCGAGACGACTTGAATACCTCAGAAGTAATTCGGGAACACACATGTTTGTTGGCACGCTTTTTTGTACATGGCCTCATTTCGTGTGTCGGACGTCGGTTGCCGGGATGTAGAACTGTAAGCACCCAGCTTCTTAAGTACAAGGTTTGCCTGCTTCTTGCGTGACACCTGACGTTTCGCCTTCCGCCGTCACTAAGCGGGGCTAGTACGGTGCTCCGAAGAGTGTGGTTGTTCGTTCGCCGCTCAAGGGTGACAAGAATTATTCAGCAGCAGTAGCAGCATCCCCGACTTCAGGCCATGTGGACAGCATGAAGTATTTGCGATAATGTTTCAGCGTTCTGCCTCATTGTCTATGTTGCCATGCCACGGACTGCGGATCCCCGCTGGCCTGTCGTGTTTCGCCTTCCCTTGTGATTCCAGCTCCGGCATCCGCTGGCGGACGTGCGCGGCCGTGCCATCTCCAATCTGAGCGGGTGAGTGAAATATGGGTGGACGTCCCAACGGTTCGGAACGGCTTTTTCTTCGACACATTTGAGTCGGTGCTTGTTCTTTATCTACGTTTAGAACAGGAACGATTGCAACGTATGCGTGGAGGGTTGGTTCTGTGCTGCTGCAGAACTTTTTTTCGGATATTGCCCAGGAGAACGGTTGGGCACAGAATACACGCACCTCCGTCCACCCAAATAAGTTTAGCGCTAGTGTCCGCAAACCCTGAGGTGTACCGTTCCCTTCACACAACGTGCACCCGCGCTTCCCCCCGTCATGCGGTACGGTACGGGTCCCCTTTTCGTCCGCGGCAGGAAAATCTCGTTGGGCCTCCTAAGCCCCTCGGACCTATTGCGGGAGGAGCCATCTTTTTTCTCGGACGTTGTTGCTCTTCTTTCGGAAGGGATAGGGTTTGAACCATCCGGAAACCGGTCTCCGGAGCGCGGGTCGTTGGAAGGAAGTTCCGCATCGGCGATCCTGGTGCTCAACCTCTGCGTGCTGCTAGTAAAGGTACTGATTTTTGGTTTCAGCATGAGCGGCGTGCGCAGAGGGTCGAGAAGATTTTTTTTTCCTCCAGACAGTAGTATGGACTAAATAGCTCCGTACCGCCTTTCAAGGCTCGCCTCCACACTCTTCGACAGACGCGACAGACGCGCTTCTGAACCAAGCACGTCGTGTTTTTTTTTTTTGTTCTACCACAGGGGCGTGTGTGCCCTGTCTGCCAGACGACGAATATTTTATCTAGAGCATGCTGTCAGCCTGGCAATCCCAATCCCATGCGTAGCACAACATATCTCGGGTCCACGGCTCGCACCCCACCCCATTACGTTTTTCCGTGTCACTCCCGAACCCATCCCATCGCGGTTATTCCATGTCACACCCCAACCCATTCCACCACGGTTATTCCGTGTCACACCCCAACCCATTCCACCCCGGTTATTCCGTGTCACACCCCAACCCATCCCACCGCGGTTTTTTCGTGTGGCAGGACCCGGGATGTCGCGCTCGTCTAGCGGGGGGGGGCGCCGCCATCCCCCTCTCCAGGATGATGACGATGGCTGAGTCTTCGCGGACTAAAGGCGGAGGCGAGCTTCGTCTCCTCGCGGCAGAGGTGAGAAGAAGACTTGCAGATAGAAATGGATGGGTGTACACACTGAGTGAGTTGAGGGTGTCACATGGACGGGAAAAGGTGTGGTTTGGTCGCCTGATACATACGAAGGGATTTCGAAGCAAGCTTTGACGAGAGATCGGGGACAATTCGGGAGTGTGACCACGAGTGGTAGGCAGGCCGGGAAGCTCGGAACGGGGGGCGGAATTCGTCGTGCCGTCCTCCAAAGCGAGGGAAACAATCATTGTTTTGTCGCCGGAACCGTGAACCTTCACTCCCCACTGCCAGGTCTTGGAGCTCGTGGAAACCTCCCCGGGTACCCGTGTAGCTCCTGAATCCGTGGCGGTTTCGGGGGAGGGGCCGGGTACTGCTAGCCTCCCACCGGTAACGGTGCCTGCGCGTCAGCAGGGATTAGCGTGGAGGGAAGTCGACCTTCCGAACGGTCAACAAAGTCCAGAGCACCAGCACCAGCACCAGCAGGAGACGGAGGAGGCGTGCGCGCTATTCGGAGACGGGTCGAAGCCCAGGTACGGTGGGGGATGATCTCCGGAGATGGCGACGTTTAGTGTCTGGGTGTATTTTCATGATGGTACGATCGAAGACCCGCCCGGCACGAGAGGAATTTTCTCCGTAGGACTCACTCCGGATCCCGTGTCCCTCGGCACAAAGGGAGGGTTGTGTACCGTCATCATTTCATCGTCATGGTGGAGGTGGTGACTTTGTGGTCTAGGGGGTAGTACCGTGTAGAGCATAACTCTTTTGGCTGGCAGAACGCCTGCATCGTTCCGCCAACACTCATGCAGAAGGTTGCCTCCTTATTCTTTTGTTGATCACTCTCCCCTTGATTGTTTCGCTCGGACAACAGCACCGGGTTTTGGCGACAGCCCCAACCGACTTCTCGGGGTGATGCTCAATTTATTCCGCTTGGAAACGTCCGTTCGCAACGTCCTAGAATTTGGAACGGCGTGTGTGTGGGCTGTGGACCTCCATGTCCTGTTGTCAATCTCGTCCCCTCGGGACGTGCTCATGCCCGTGATCGCCTCAAGAAGGTGTGCTAGGCGTACTCAGCACTAGATCCGGATCTAGAACGTTTCGTGTATCTGTGGTACGTACTTGTACGAGAGCGATCCCCCTTGTCTGCCGTGCGTGGGCCAGCGTGGCCTATTCGCTCGGTAATCACAATGTCTCTCTAGTCAACCGTTTCTTCGCGCCTCTGACGATAAGCGCCCGCTACCCGCATGAAGGTGGCCCCGCTGGACGAAGGATTTCGTGGACGGCCCCCTGTTGTCCGCCGGGAAGAACGCTTCGTCCGAAACCGTGGTGGCCTGCCTCTGCGCGGGGTGGCGCTTCCCGCACGTGCGCCTGGTCAGGTACGTGTTTGTGTGTGTCTGTGTGTCTTAATTGTTAGCACCGACCGCACCATCCGCTGGCCAATGAAAATAAAATGACGTCAGTCTTTGTAGCGTGGTCAAAAACGCGTACGCGCTTTCTAGTCGGAGGGTTCTCTATGTGCGTGGGCAGCGGCGAATTATGAAGCAAAACTGGTGGGCAAATATGCGTAAAACTTCGTCTTCCGAAAGTGTTTATTAGCCCCGTTCCTCCTAGCCAACTAAATTGTATGTGCCCTCCGTGTTCCGTGTGCTGGGACAGGTCGGAAGAGTCGGCGCTTTTCGACTTCGAGGTCCGCTTCCGCACCGCCTCGACCCCCGCGGGCGAGACCGGCCTGCTGCGCTGCCTGAGGCACCTTCGCGACGAGATCGTGGAGGACTATCCCCCCGAGGTACTCCTCCAGAGGCCCGGATCGTTCGGCCGCTTGCTGTCGCTGCTAAGGTGGGTCTTGTTTCGTTGGGAGTGGGGGGGGGTTGTACTCCTACCCTTCATGCCGTAGTCGTTAGACCATTGACCCCGGATCCCTGCAAGAAAGCCGAGACGGAGCACGCCGGGTTCTCACCGGACCAGGCTCTCACGTCACCAAACGCGAAGCGCCGTGAGGTATTTGGCTAGTCGTATGAAGGGTGCGCTGCATCCTGCTAAGGGTGTTCGGCATATTGGGCTTACTTCCTTGCGAACGGATGACAGTTGCGAAAAACTAAATATATTCCTGGTGCTTTCACTTCCAGAGACAGTCCTGAGTACTGTGTAACTGCCTCGAGGGTGCTTGACCAATTTACCACAACGTGGTGCGATCATCCCCTTTGTGCGAGGTGAGGGTCTTCGACCCCGCCGAAGCCAAAAGTACGCACAAAAAAAACTAAGCACCCCCCCATCGCGTAGAGAGACCCGTTCGCCCTGGTGTGGTGCGCTGCAGGTACCGTGTCTGGTAGTGAGTCTCACTCTTCTTCTCCCATGGTGACCTTCACGATTGATTGTCTTGCTCTTGTTCCCTTGGGTTCGGCTTGTGCTTATTTTTGTGTCGGTCTCCTCGGGAATTTAGAGTGCGTTGTGCGTGCGTAACGATCACTGTTCTCCCCTCTATAACGGCAGCACGTTGGAGCTACCCCCCCCCGCGCACCTTACGATCGCATCCATTCCAACGCTGAAACATCTCCCACGTACCTAGTCAACTATATTTCGAGCCAATGGGGGCGCAGGCAGTCTCCCTTCTTTAGAGGTGTTTTTTTCATCAGCGGTTGTTCAGGTGCTACAAGAGATGGCTCACCCGCACTCATCACGTCCCACCTAACCTCCCTGATTCACTTAACACGGTGTCCCCTCTCCCGTGAACTACGTTGGCGGTCATCGCGTGACGTCACTCTGTTTTTTTCAACACCACATACAATATTTCCCCCCCCATGTTGCGGCTGCACCTCCCCATCCTTCCCCCTTCGCTCAATTCCGCCGCATCGAAATTTGTTCTCCCCCACCCACCCCGCCCTTGGCTTGGCCTATCGTAGAACTCCTTCCGCCAGCGAGCGCGTGATCGAGGAGGCCCTGTCGACCGCGAGCCGGCTCCTCGAGCGCCTGGTGAGGTCTGCCCGCCTGCACCAAGATCCGTCGTTCTTGCCCCCCTCGCCTTCGGCAAGTGTTGACATCGACGACCAAAGAGCCCCCGCAGCGGGAGAATCAGACGGGTATGCCTTCGGCGGGGCCCCGGCCGGCTACGTCCCGGGGGGTGGCGGGGCTGCAGGCGGTAGTACCGTATTCGGTACCCGGTACGGCCGTCACGGTGGAGGTGAGCCCACGGATACCGACAGCGGATGGCCGGGATTTCGCGGCGACGAAGAAGAAAACCACCGCCGCCGCCACCGGCAGCGAGTGCTCTGGGAGCAGCAGCAGCAGCGGCAGCAGCAGCAGCAGGCGGGGGTGCCGCAAGATCAGCGGATGCGGACGACGATGACCCCGGGGGACGCGGCGGTGGCAACCCTCCTCTCCTTCCGGTACCCCCGGTCCTCGCCAACGGTACGGTTCACGGCCGGCGGCGCTGCGTCCACCGCTCGCGACGGCCGGTTGGGAGGGAAACGGGGAGCCGCCGGCTCCACCGGCGGCGGCGAGGTGCCGGAAGAGCTCGGGAAGGCGGGGCCAGGGGGCAGCGGAGGAGTTAGCGTGTGCGGCGCCCTGTTCGCGCTGTTCTTGTCGGCGTGCCCTCTTCTCGGGTACCCAGCCGCTAACAAAGCCAGGGTCACTCTTGCTAGTGGCGGGGGCAGGGTCAACCGCAGCGACGAGAAAGGAGGAGGACCGGCGTCAGAGCCGTCGGGAGGTCCATCCAGGGTGGCTGTTTTGGCGGGAGAGATGCTTCAGGTGCGCGGAAACCGCTTATTTTTGTTTTTTTGGTTCGGGGGAGCGTGCGCCCCACTGCCCTTCATCCGTCGTTTCCCTGGCTCGCCTGGAGAAGCCATGAGATGTGTCCGGTGGTTTTGGGGCTGGGTAATGTTCCCAGGAGGTTCCCCAACGCGGGTCCCGCTGTTGGAACGTAGACACCGCCGCCGTTCGGGTTAACGAATGAGTATTTTCACACACCCTCCCCTAGGCATGTCTGGTTTGTTGCAGCAAACATCTGGTTCATCCTTGTTAGTCGTACCTGGGCCGGCAATAACCCGTCATTGCCTCTCCATCCCGGCGTTGTAGGGATACGAGTTCAATGGAATGGTCTGACGATGCGTTTGCATTAGAACGCCCCCCCGCCTCCCTCTGGCTTCCTGCTCGAGTTCTCTTCCCTCTTCGCCTAGCCTACGATGCTGCCGCAAGGAGTTTTTGGCGGGATACTTGTCGTGATGGCTCGAATCTGACCTCCTCGCCGAAACCACCTCTTTGTTTGCAGCCATTGGTCAAGCCACCACACGTTCCACCGCACATTTCCTACCCCCCCTCAGTCGCTGTTTCCGCTCTTGTCGCCACGGAACCCTCAGCCGGTCAAGAGGGTTCCAGACTATCATCGAGTCACCAGGTTCCCTGATCTGTTCCCTCGTCGCGTGGCGTTGTGTATTACCCCCCCCCCGTCCCCCCCGTCCCGAAGGCGGTGATCCCGTACTTGCTCGAACCACAAGGTAATGACGGGGACTGGGGTGAGAGCACCGATTCCGCCTCCGCCGGAGGAGTCGGGGGAGCAGCGGCTGGGATGATAACGTGCCCTGTTGACGCTCTCCGGGTGCAGGAGGTCCTGTGCAGCACGGGCCAAGTCCTAGGGTACACAGGTACCGTCGTCGGTAGGTCCGGCTCTAATGGTGGTTTCGGAGATTGACTTTGTTTGTGTCAAGTTCAGAGCATCGTTGTTGTACTTTTCACGGGCATTTCCCCCCAGATGGGGGAGGGGGGGGGGGGTAGTTGTGTTCCATTTTCGAGCCCCCCAAAAGGGTAGAGACGAGCGTGTGTCAAGTGCTGTGAGCAGCGAGAACAGGTTCCCCGGGCTTTGCAGGAGAAATTGTTTTGTCCGAAAGTAGGTTTTTAGCTTCCACGTTGGCGGGTTACACATGGCCGTTTCAGAAATTTGGTTGTTTCGTTGTTCGTTGTTTCCGATGGGGAGAGAGGCATCCACTTTCTTTCCAAAGGCGTTGTACACCGCGTGACACTCACGCGTCCGCTCTTTACAAAGTTGCTCCCTGTGACGTTTATGGTTTGCTGTGGTCTGTCAAGCTGCAGGAGGAGGAGTTGCACCAGATGGTGGAGCGCCTGAACCGCTGGTGTCGATCGCCGTCCAGCTACTGCTTCTACTATCACCGGACGACTTGGTGCCAGGTAAGAGCCCTGGCTGAGGCCATGTACCACCCGATTTGTTTCTAGACTTGATCAAGACTTGACGCACGTCCATCTGTGCCGTTAGCTTCGACACGGAAGGCTATCTGCTCTAGTAGTGTCACCGGGCAACTTGGTGATACCGTAAGGTTGCGAGTCAGCGCACAAGGGGTGCGATCGATTTTCAAAGCGCAATTTCTCCACAACCAGGAGGGTGCGAGCGCCAACTGATACTTGTCAGGAAAGCTCTCGATGAGATATTTCCAAAACCTCCCTTTTCGACAGCAGCAGTGGTATTCTAACCTCCTGGTTGTGGAGAAGTTACGCTTTGAAAATCGTTCGCACCCCTGTACGCTGACTCGCATCCTTTCAGTAGGTAAGAGCCTTGGCTGAGGCCGTCGAAGGACCTCACCGCTGATTTCGACAGGCAAGGCCACATGCTTCCGAAGTGAAGTATTGAGTGTCGACGTGCAGCGTTGGCGAGCACCCTGCTGATACCTACCGCGGATGCTGTCGCTGGCGGGAGGGTGGCGGCGACGGCGACACGCTTGCCGTGGACGTTTTTCGAATGTCGATGTCACGTGGCGCATCTGCAGGCTTAGTTCATCGCTCGTTTTGAGGTGGATAGTCAGCTAGACACAAGGGTCTAGCAACACAAGGAAGAAATAGCAAAATCAGAAGAGACTCGCATACCCCCCCCCCTCGCGCTCCTCTCGTGCACACCAGGAAACGACGAACAATTCGCCGGAGGCGGCTGTACCGTCGCTGAGACCAGCGTCAAGCTCCCTCCCAGGCTCGTTTTGCAGTTGCGAGACATGGTGCTGGATGCCGGGGAAGCAGAACGACGGCCCTCTCTCAGGTCGAGGCTGTGGCCTCTGCTTGCTAGGGCTAGTCCGAAGGAGGCGGAGATGCTGCAGGTGACTTCAACCCGACACCCCCTAGGTTTACGGTGATTGGAAGTGCGCCACCGCGCCGCGCCCCCGTTTTCGTAGTTCTTGGACTCTGCCTTTAATGGTGGGTTCTTCTCTCCGTTGACGTTGTCTGGTGTGCTCATATGTAGTCTACATATGATAGCATTGCCCAACGTACACGTGCTGTTAGTCGGGCGAAACGATACCGTCTGGCGTTAGCGTTTCGCTCTCACCTGTGTCATGAGGTCATCTTCTTTTTGACTTGTCCTGCTGTTGCCACATCCCCCCCTCTTTCTCGTGCCATACAGTAGAAGGGCAACACTGCCAGGACACCTGATTGTGAACGCGTTGTTCCCTAGCTTTGAGCCTGAAGTGAAGGGTTTAGAACCCAGCAGCGCACGCACAGACTGCGATCCTCTGCACACTTCTAATACACGTCGTCTCTTTTCACCTCTCCTCTTGTCGCCTTCAATGATTGGTCGGAATGGTCTCACGCGCGCCCCTTGTTTGTCTTGTGGCGTTCAATATTCCCGCTTGTAGATCACGCAAGTAGCGTAACTAATGCGTTCCCCCGGCGCCGTGTTGTGGTTTCAGGCCGCCCAGGTCCTGACGAGGCAGGCCGCATTGGTGCTCAACATCGGGCGAGAAGGGGCAGGAGGAGGATCAGGACCAGGAATGATCGAGGGTTGCGGCGGAGGGGCGGCGGCGAACCGAGGGACATCCTGCGATTGGTCGTGGGTGCGGGGGACGCTAGGACAGGTTCGATGCTCCGGGGATACATAGAGACGTGGTCATCGACGGTTCTTGTTTTATGCGTTGCCCGCAAGAATCTACCCCTCCCACACACACCAACATACACACAGAACTCGTATCCTCCTATTTTTGTTCCTTGTTAAGCCGCAGCGCTCTGTCAGCAGCGCTGATTTCGTGTCGTCTACGCCACCACGTCCATCCCACCCCCACTTTCAACCACGCGGCTCCTTCCCAGCAACTGGTTCTTCTACACCCCCTGGTGTTTATTTTCCGTTTCGGTGCCACATGAAAATACCTTGTAACTTCAGTATCCTCCGCTACCTCCATGATCCTCCCCTGACCTACTTGTCCGCATCTCAGATAAAGGCTGCGCTGCCCCTCCTTCGCTCCGTGGACGACCCTCGACTAGTCAGCATTGCCGTGGCCCTCTGGTTCTCCGCCGCGAATGCTGCATTTTCCTCGTCGTCGGGCTCCACCTCGCCAGGTTGGGACAAAAAAAAACTTGTTGGGATGTTCGAGGAAGTTTCCGCGTTTTGTTGTGCTGAGGAAAGAAGTGGGGATCGCGGTCGTGGTGGCTTTGCCTCGCGCAGGTATATTCACAGAACAAGTTGAAACGGGGCCTAGTTGCTTGTAGGAATTTGCGTCTTCCCCGACTCAATGGGTACCTGTTCATTGTCTTGCACTTCGCAAAATTGGGGGGTTCGCCGAGCAAGTCTTGGGTTGTATCCCAGCAGAGCTGGGTTGCTCAGGATTGTGTGTACGCACATGCCTGCACCAGGAACAGTGTCTCTAACTTTCCGTTCTATGTTGGTACTTGCTGATGTATTCGCGCTGCTCTGTGCGCGGTGATGGCAGTCGAACCTCGGGAGGCCGAGGGGATCGGTGGCGCGGTCGTTGTCAAATTGGTGCACGGGGAGTTCGGAGAACGGGTGAGTTGCCGACGTTTTCTCTCGTTGTCTCGTCCGGCGGGGCGAAATACGTAGTTTGTTCCCCTGCATGACAATAACAACGTCAAAGCAATGCGAATGGGTTCAACAAGCAGCAGTTTGTTTTGTCTACTCCCTCAACAAACCTGCCCTTTGTCGTATTATAGTACCTAATCTCTGATTGGTCAAATTCGTTCGAGACGTTATATATCTTGTCGCTGCGTCCTCTTTCGCGAACGCCAGAAATCAACGTGCGTGCAATTTATTGCACTCTGTGTTTCGGCGATGACGCAGTCTCGATGTCCGCCATGGAGAAACTCATGGCATGCCTGATGCACTCCGCACTCCTTGCTGTGTCCGCTTGGCGAACCTCGGTTGCCGAAAAAAAGGCGAGTGCCCAAGCAATGCACATGTTGGACGAGCTCACGGCTGCAGATGACACAGTGGCGGCTGGAAGTGGTTGCATCCAGGTTCCACCTAGGTATGAGGCGCTCTTGATAGTGTGCGGGACCGTTGGGCTTCGCGCCACGTGGCAGCAGGGTCGGTGATCGCACCGTGTCAGCACGTAGCTCCTTGACTTTGTTGTCATGCACGAGGCCGCCATCTACGGATAGAATCGGAATCCCGAGCAGAAAGGATACACCTTGCATTGGTTGTGGAATCACTTCGCTTCGCTTGTACTCATTGTCCAGGTAGGCAGGCGGGCAGGGCAGCGCACGATACGATACGATACGATACGATTGGGTGTGGTGTGGCCTGGGGGGTATGGCCTGGCGGTAGAAATCGAAGGAGATATGAATGCAGCACATCCCGGGCCGTGTCGTTTCGCACTGTGCCCACCTCATGACCATGTTCTCTCTCTCTCTTTCTGCCTTCTCTTTCGCTGTGTGGTCCGGCCTGGTTCGGAACGGCCCACGTGTTCTTTTATTTTTCAAAGTCGTTCTCTTCTCGACTCGGGGGAACACGTATCAAACCGCTCCGTTACTTCGCAACAGGTCCCCCACACACACAAACGCCCGCCCCCCTGGTCGTTCGCCTGCTTACCTATCAGGCCTTCCCCGGTCTATATGCCCGTTTTCGCCTCACTTGCTTGAATGACGTGACACCCCCCCCACCCCTCCCGCCCAACAACGATGCCAGCTTCGCCGAAGCCATGGCTCGACACGGCCTTGCGGACCCTCGCAAGAGACCCTTGACGGCGACCCGCTTGGCGGCCGCGCTCGCCGTTGTCCTCGGAGGAGGTAACGGCGTCGCCGGAGATCGTGTTGGTGCTGTTGCTTCGGCGGTAACGCGGTCGGCGCCGTCCTCACCGCTGTTTTCGGCGGTTCTCCTTCGAGGAACGGCGACATCTGGTTCTCCGGGCAATGCTGGTGGTGGTGGTGGTGCTGCTGCTTCTGCTCCTGCTGCGGCTGCTCGCCGGGTCATCGCCAGGAGCTGCACGGCGCTACACGGGGTCCTACGCTCCGACGGCAAAGCCAAGAACGTCAGCCTTACCGCCGCCGCCACTGCTGCTGCTGCCACCGCGCGTGCCCTCTCGCCTACTCTCGAAGCGTTCATCGAGGTCTGCCGTGCCGCTGAGCGTACCGCAGCGTCACCGACAACACCGTCGACAGCAGCAGCGCCGGCATGGCCGGATGAAGGAGCTGCCGCCAACGGCTGCTTCTGCGGACACGCACGCTTGCCGGCGGGACAGAGCGAAGAACGCGCTAGCAGCTGGCGAGAGGCCCGCCGTGCAGTGTCCTCGCTGCTTGACTTTGTTGACGGCCTCCTAGAGGACGAGACCAAGCAGGGCTTGCACCCAGCGGCCCAAGGCCAATTCCAGGCCGGGGATGGTGTGTTGTCATCCCCTCCCCTCCGGCGCCACCGGTCGCCCACAACCAACCCATCGCTGGTCAAGAGTGCTGCTGCGAGGAGGATGTGGGTGGAGGTGCGGGGACTCTGCGGAGGAGAGGCGAACGCCAGGGCCGCGGCGTCGCGGCGGCTGGCGGGTTTGCTGAAAGAGACGACGATTCCGGAGGACGAGCGCGGCGTCAAGCAAGGAGGGGTGAGGTGGTTGGAAGACGGCGGTGACTTTCGGTCTTGTTTCGTTGTAGCGAGGCATCGGCTCGCTCACCTTCGCTGAACCAGAGCGTGGATTAGAGCTCTGTCGGGTTTCCTGCAGGCGTGCCTTTGTCCGCGGTACAGGTTACGCTTGCGACTGCTGTAATTGCTCCCGACCGGCCTCGTTTGAAATGTTTTCGTGAAACGCCTCTCATGGTTTTTTGTTCTCCAATCCTCCGCCTTTTGTACGGGACTATGCCCCGGAACCCCCCTTCCTCCCCAAGAGTAACGACTACAACCCCGATCGCCTCCCTGCACAACAAACCGCTGCCGTTGGTCCAACGAATCGTTGTTGCTCATTGACGACCCGCCCCCCCTCCACCCGATGGTCTAACGACTACGGCATGCGTGTACACCCCTCCCTCAGGCTGTACCGTTCCCTTTCCTCTACCTGGATGACCCCCTTCACCTGCCGCCATCCGCAACCCCTATCGCTTCAACGGTCGCAAATAACGGGGCAAGCGGTAAACCGGCGGCGTCAGAGAGGGCGCCGTCGGAAGGCCAGACGTTGTCTTTCTCGGCGGAGCACGTCAGGAACCTGGCGGACGTGGCGGGAGCCCCGTCGCTGGAGGGGGGTCTGCGGAGGGCGGCCGCTGAGCAGCTTCGGGGGGTGCTCGTGTCGCCGGGCGTGGCTGCGGTGGTGCTTTCGGACACTGGAGAAGAGGTGTGAGACACGCTAAAACTATGTAAATACTATTCTTGCTTGTTGTGGGTAGGCATCGCTGCTGATTGTAGTGGGTTTCGAGGGAGGCACCGTTTTTTTGCCGGTAGTACTGGGGATAGATGCTCCGACGACCCTGCGACGAAAGCTTTGTCCTCAGCGGCACAAGCACACCTTCTGACGGTCCGAAATTATCTCGTTCTTTGCTCTCTATCTCTTCGGGTGATCCCCCCTCCCCCTCAACACCCCCCCCCCCCCGTCTCAACCAACCCTAGGACCTCTGCGAGAGAGTTCTCAGCGCCGCGTTGTCGGGGCTACTGCCCCGGCCGCAGCCGCCGTCGTCCCCGATCCCTTCCGGGTCCGACGGCGACCGAAGCGAAGACCCGTGGCCATCGCCGCGACCACCCTGTCCGTTGCCGGGTATCCCATCGGCGGCGGCGGCGTCGCCCGGCACCGTTGTTACCGGTGGCCGTAGCGGCCGCAGCGGGGTCGGCGAGCATCTGTGGGACGAGGCGTTCCTCGGGTTGTTGTTAGCGGCGGTGGGGGAGTTCGCCCCCATCAGGCGTTATTTGCTCGCAGCCTGTTCTGGCCGCGAAAGTGGCGGCTGTTCTAGAACGGCGGAGCCAGAGCTCGCTCTCGCGGCGGGATCCCCTGCCCTGGGACACCTCTCCCGGAGTCGGAAGGGAGCAACAGCGGCGGCCATCGTCCCGCCGAACGCCCTGCCGTCCGTTCTCCGGCGCCTGTACCACCCCCGGCCGTCGGTCCGGCGCTTGGCCGGCTCGGTCGCCGTCCGCCTTGCCTTCGACTCTCCTTCCTTCTTCTCCCCCCTCGAGTGCACCCTAGAGAGCCCCCCCTCTTCGCGTGTGGGGCGGGATAGCGATAACGAGCGCGGCCGTTGCGGCCGCTGCCGTGTTGGCGGGGTCGCGAGCCTAGGAGAAGGGTTCTCGGTCCCGATGATGGTTCTCGAGGCGTTTCCTCGCCTGGCGGAGCTGACGAGGGAAAGGACCAGCAGCGGTGGCGGTGGGAGCGAGAACACGGGAGGCGATTCTTCACCCTCCCGCCGCAACGAGAACCGCAACGGCGCCAGCAGCAGCGGTAGACGCCGGCACGAAGCCTTCCACACCCTCGTCGCCAGCGAGTGGACTCTCGTTCTTATCCCAGACACCGCCGCCGACGGCCCCGCTCACCGCCCAGGGGTAGCCGCCGCCGCCACCGCCGCCGCCGACCCCTCCTCGAAGAAGTCGGGCGAGAGGCACCATCGCTCTGCGGTCGCTTCGCAGGTAGCGGAGGCGTTACGGGAGGCGGGGAGGCGTACGGAGTTCGAGGCGGCGATGCTGAAGGCGCGGGCGTGGATGCTGGCTGGCTTCGGGTACGTAGGGTGTTAGACGCGCGCACCCATTGTTGATGAACTTGATGCTGGCTCTCTTAAGGCTGTGACGGTGTGACCGTTGTGACCGATGGGGGACAGGGGGGGGGATTCACCCTCTTCTGTCTACTGTGCAGTCTTGTTTGCGTTCTCGCCATGCCTGCCTTCTGTCGATTGCTGAACATGATGTACGGGGCTCGCTCTCGTGTGGGTTGCTGTTCGACCGTTGTCGCCGCTCTTGCAGGCTGGCTCGGTTCTTTTTTCATTCGGTCCTGTGTTTTTTGTTTCCCCGATGTCTCTGCGCTTCACGCTCTCGCTGCCCTCTACGGGCATGCCGCTGCATCGTCATCTTTCCGTCGCCGCACAGCTGCTCGGAAGCCCTCTTCGGGCCAGACGGCGGGTGGGAAACCGCCTTCGAGAGGTTCTTACGAGCCCCTCCTAACGGTACGAAGGACAGGGCGGCAATGCGGGACGTGACCAGCCTTCTCGTCGCGGGGACGGATCACATGTGTCCCCGGAGTTTCCAAGTTCTCGCGGACGCAGCGGAGGTGAGGTGTTCCACGGCTCACCGCACAACACTTCTTTCTGCGGAGATTAGTTTTCGCCGGGTATCGTTGGGGATCTGGAACGGCCGTGAACACCCGCGAAGGAACGACGGAGAGTGCCGTGCGTTGCCTTGAAGACGATGTGCCGGCGTGTGTCTGATAACAGCGTTGTTGTGCATTCGATGGTGCACACACGCCTTCAATGTGCTACTATTCGGCTGCATACCCGCCAATCGCTCCCGCGTGCCTCAAGCGTGTGGGTCATTTTCGTCGTGAATTTCCTTGGACAGGAGTGCTTCGTGCCCATACTATCCGAGACGAATCGGAGGCCTACCACCGTTCTCGGCGATTACCTGGGCGACTGGAGGGCGCCTTCGAGCAGCAAGGGCTCCGCGAGAGATCTCGAGGTGGGTGGTACACGCGGAAAAGTGGTACGTGGCACATTGAGCCTGACACGTTTTGGCGAATGTGCGGTTTTGACAGATTTTGAAGGCGCTATTTCGCGTCGAAGGAGTTCCAGTCACTCTGTGGGCTTTTTTTTTTGTTCGCTCCCTAGCCCAAGATGGAGGAGCCTTCTTCTTGTAGTGCTACAGCTGTTGTCGTATTTATTTTGTGATGGTGTGGTCGCCATCTTGAGCAAGAAATGGCACCTGAGCCCCTCTAGAGCACTGTTCTTCTGTTCTGTGTCCTCTCCGCGACCAGGCGACATGCCGTCTCCGATGGTCGACTGCATTGTACTCCTTCCGCACGACCGCTTCAAAACAACTTTACCCCCCCTCTGCCCCGTCCTCTCGAGGACGCATGGTCGACAGTCTCACAACCACGGCGTGCTAAACATGAGTACGCCCCGCCCCCATCCTCTCGAGGACGCGTAGTCAATGGTCTATCAGCTTACTAAGGCATGGAAAACATGTCTACCCCCCCCCCCCCCCCCCCCTGATGAGCC